CGTCGTGCGCGTTCTGAATTTGGGGTGGGTTCAGAGGTCGTCACAGGGGACTGCGCTTCCGAAATTCTGCGCGTAATTCATTTCGAGTCACAGACGACGGACTGGCGCGAAATTCGTCTTTCTGTCGTGTTAAGTCGTCGAGTTTCCATAGTAGACAGTTCAGGCATCTCTGGAGTCGCGGCACTGCAATGGCGTAATCCCACAAGAACAATTCCAGGGGCGTGATGTCTGGTGACCTTGGGGGTCAGGTGGTTCACCTCCGTACAAGGAATCCGCCACTGCTGCATGCAGGGATCAGTAACTCGGTCAGCAACTGAGGACATCGAGACTTGTTGCGTCCACCTTCATCTCAGTATTTTATTGCGTATAATTATAAAGAAAACAGCATCCCGAAATCTGGACCAACTCTCCGGATGCAAAACAAATACTCAAAGAATATAATTAAATTCCGCGAAGACCACTAGATCTTTTAATGTGTGTGTGCGTGGAAGGAATACAACAAAATTATGCTAATTAAAATAAAATATATTGGCTCCATGCACAAATTTCGAAACTATCTGAATTCATTTAATTCAGTTTAGACATGGAGACGTACATTCGTCAGAACTTGCGAGCTTCAGAAATTGAACCGGTGTCAGAGATGAAACACAGTGTTCATCGTCGTACCAACTTTAATATTTTTTCACAAAACTATTACGAAAACCCGAAAAGAAACCTGAAGTTATCGGTGGAATTACAGGAAATTAATAATTCGCCTCGCCATGAAATCAATATGACGTGTCAGTCACATGGGCGTCTTATGTTGTATTTAAAGCTTGTCCGTGTTTTCCTTAAAAGGCGTTCATCTTGCGCTGATTACGCGGCTTCCCCACAAAAAACATCGCAAACCACGAACCGCCTCTGTTTAAAACAAAAGCCGCGCTCTTTTATCAGGTATAAAACTGTTGGCGCAGTTGGTGATTTTAATAATCTTGCAGAAAGAGATTCCAGCAAAGCCATTAAAGATTCTTAACGCCGTTTAATAAGCGCGCCGCAGCAATTTCACGTTAATAGCCAGGCAGAAGCTCATTGGGGTCCGCCGACCGAGGGGGCCGGTAACACTGTAAATCCAACGGCTGCAGAACGGGTCATTGGGATTTTGCCAATGTTCTATTTGATTAGTAAAACAATAGAAAACACAGCAGCGATTCACACTTTTGGGACAACGTATTTGTGTGAATATCATTGTCGATGATATCGTTGTTGATGTCAAGATTTTATTTATTTATTTGTATTGTGAGGCTGATCATGAGTGCGACAAACAGCCTTATGGACGAAGGTATTGACGTCTTATTGTTCTTTCTTCCTCCTTGTAACTACCTGAACATGAACGCCGTTCGAACAGCGCTGAACGCCACTCAGTAAGGCCCATGAGGCTCGATGTGACGTCATAGAGTGTCATAAGAAATACGCGGGTTTCGAATCTGTTTCTGCTAAACCGAATTGCAATTCCGATTCTAAAATTGGAAGGAAAAAAAACGCCACTGACTTCAGTCACCGGCGACCGTTCCACTGGGGGCATCTGAACGGGAAAATTCCATGTACGTTTTTGAGAAATGTATCGTCATCTTTACCAAGTTGTTCTGAGTTCCGTAAAGTTCTCTCTGCTAGTCGCAGGTAAGGCAGATGTCTGCGCCCCCCACCACAAGGTAACATCCGCTTCGTCGGTGGACTCCGATCTGGAGGAAGCCTTGATCCGAAACAGCAGCGGGCGAATTACGGACGTACGATTTGCATTTACTTCCGGTACGCGAGGTGCGAGGGTGGCATTCGAACAGAACACGATCGATACTTGTCGCGAGTGTCATTTCTTGACGGCGTTTCGGCTTCTCTAGGCGAACACTTCTTCACTGAGTAATTTAGCGTCATACGAGGTCCGAGTGGGCGTTGTTGTGGCTATCAGAGCAGTATATGTGCTGTTTGTAGCAGGTGGGTGTTCGGCGTTCGGACATTCTTGCTTCGGGGGTCACGGCAAGCGAACGGACGGGAACGCCGTCCTGATTCCGGGGCCAGATTCCGACCAGCAACCGCTACTGGTGTTCCGTCCAGAAGAGGAGGATGCAGACGACGCGATGGTCCAGCAGGGCGCTCTGCCCTCGGCGTGGTCGGCGACCGCGGGCATCTCCCCCCGCCAGCCTCCGCCGCTGCCAGCAAAGTACAACCTCACTCCCTTCTTGAGGCAATGGGTAAGGACATCGTTCAGTCGCGGAGAATCCGACGCTGCGCGCTGGATTCGCGTCGCTCAGGACAGGGACAAGCAGTTATGAATGGGTTCTGTAAAAGGCGGGGAAGTTCTCGACAAGATGAGCCACTGTAAGCTCAGCTCCATGCAGTTTCTTCTTGCGTTAATCTTATATCATTGCTGACGAAATTAGAAAACCGACGCGTGGCGTCGCGACGCCATCCGCCGTCACGCCAGATGAAGCATACCACCCTTGGTATAACGTTTGGCACGATGATAGAAAAGCGACGCCTTGCGTAACAAGGTTCTTGAAGGACGAAATTTTACCGAAGACGCCAACATAACCTAACCTAACCTAACGTCATCACAAGACCCAGGAATGTGACTCGATCGATTTGGATAACTTTGGCTGCAAGATTAGCAAACCGACGCCTGGCGTCGCGACGCCGAACATTGCGACGCTCTATCATGGCTCCTTGTTATTTCGCAGCTATCTTGAAATTGTTCATTGCACAAATTAAATGTTAAATATCTCTGGATAAGTTTTTGTTTAAAGATTTGAACGTCAAATGAACGTGGCTCCCAATTAACATAGCTCTTTCACGATGTAGTCAAAATAGGTGTATTGATGTTTGCAAGATTTGTGGACTTTTTAAAAAGATATTGTGTTACTAGGCTTATATTTAAAGAGCTCTCTGGAGCGAAACGTTTCAGAAAACACTATCTTTCTGCTCCTCGAAGTTTATCTGGCAATGGCCCCGCGGTTACGCCCTAATTTCTCGTCTGTTATCGTTTCTTGCAGTTCCAAGCCCTCCGACACTCCACGGGCGACGTTGAAGCGAAGTAGACGGCGGCTGGCTTCCCTGACGAACGCCGTTCGTCCGTTCGTCTTAGACTGCCACCGAAACCACTTTTATCTGACGCACCCAATGAACATTTTCGAGCGAGGGAAGGAGACGCTCTGTCTTGCAAAATGCATGTTGTAACAGTCACTGTGCTTAAGTTTCTTATTAAAGGAACGCTTTAAATATGAGTTGTACTTCCTGAAGAGGTCAGCTCTTTTCATGTTGTCTTCATTTAACAGCAAAGTGTAATGCTATCAATTTGTTATATTATTGTGTGTTGATTTCTGTCTTCTGGGTTGTTGCGCCGTGTAGTCTGGTCGATGTTTACCAACGTTTCGGAGGTCAAACTGCCTCCGTCATCAGGGCGATGAATGTTCCAGTCTACACAGCGCAACAGCCCAGAAGACAGAAATCTTCATACTCACCGCCGTGAAAACCTCAAATCTTACATGTTATTGTGTGTTTAAAGACGTAATTTATTTTGGCGAACACGAATATTTCTAAATATTTGGTGGTACCCAACGCGACAACTTTAAAATGTGACTTGGATTTGAGCTTCCAAAGCGGAACTGAGCTGTAATTAGGGCATTTTTGAGAATCGCCAAATCGAATTATGCCTTTATTCTTAGAACTGCGCAAATTGTTAACATTCATTGGCACTTCAATAATCTCGAGATCTCATTTTACGTCGTATTCTAGTGTTATCTTGGTGCTCGTAAAAGAGAAACTTATTTAAATAATCGGCTAACCAATGCTGATGTGTATCTTCAGTCCTCACAAATAACTGTTAACTTCAGGACTTAAGTTTATTTGTTACTATTTTATTCAGCGTGTGACGACGTACTAATTTATCATAACGATGTGTTGTACCCAAATGAAAGTTAAATGTGTAATAAAATTATACCATAGCCGTCTGTTTGTCTTTCGGATTAATTCATAATCAGTTTTTGCGCTGTATTTGTGTATACGAACATTTTTACACTGAAATTTCTCTTGACTTTAGGTTTCAGCTTTCACAGTGCGATGTATAAATTGTCTTCATGAAACGTGATCACGGATAAAAACTAAGCTTTACCTGTTTCATTGCTGTCACCCTGCCTTCCGCATTGAACATCCCTACGAGCCCCTTACTTAGTCATCTTCAGCCTTACTAGTCCTTAACTACAGCCCAGTTTCGCCTTTCTGGCTTCTCTTTTGTTAATCCTGTCCTCGCCTCTTCCTTCGATTATTCTTACTTCTATTTTCCGCGAAATATCATCCCATTCCTCTGGTTTCCCAGTCGCGTAACCCCTTCCCCCCACTCACAAGTTCCCACAGCCGGTTCCACTCCCCTAATCGACGAAGGCCGAAGCTGCACGCACTTACGACCGTGCGTGCAGAATGTGGAGACGCACTGCATCGACTGCCTAAAATTTAATGATTTGTGATTGTGACTCGTGATTAAACGCCACTCCAGAAACTGCCCTACGACGATGGTAAAATTATCAGGAGCTCCATCACTGGCACTTAAGGTAACTGTTTTTTTAAAAAAATGTAAGTGGGACACCCCTGGGAACGGGGGGGGGGAATCCTTCGTAAGGCCCTACGACAAGATTGACACTTTTTCCTACCGAAACAAAGAACCGTCACTTGTAACAGTTTGATTCTTCACATGTAGGTTCAACTTAATCCGCGATCATTTAACATCACTACGATTACACTTAAAAATTACAGATAATCGTTCTTGATTACTGGGCTTCTACTCTGTTGATTATAATTTCCGCCTTTCTGTAATCCACACTGGACCTTTAAGTAACACGGCGTTTACTCGAGTCCCACTTAGACTAATAACTCTTCTAGAGTTTGTATGGATTAAGTTGGCTGGCCTGTTATAATAAAGAATTTATTTCTGAAATATAAATATTGCTGGCATTTAACACGACTTCCAAAGTTGCTCTCATCTGAAGGTATTTATGTAAACAATGTTAGGGTCTTTTACGCGCCCATGTTGGTATGATTGATGGCAGAACATGCATGTTGTCTGTTGTCCCATGAAATATTACAGGCAACACTTGTCTATTCAGGGCCATTAAAATATACAGTTCACATATTTCCTTGCCAGTAATTATATTATCCCGAAAAGTGTATTGTCTGTGTGTGCTTCAGTATTAAAAACTCTGAATTTTGTTCACTAAACCTATTCGTGACTTCTGTGTGAATCTCACTATAAACAACGATTATATTCGTCTAAACAGCATCCACCACTCATTTTCGTAATGGAGACGCGTATATTTCTTTCTTTTCTTAAGCACGTTCAGAATTTTTAAATGCTATATACAAGACCTTCGTGCTTCGCAGGGTTAGGTGGCGCTAACTACCACGCCATCAAAGGTATTTTCAATCGAGGGTTTGCATTCCAGTTGGTGTTCCTTCTATCAGTGCTACTCGAATCGAGTTACCCGACTCGCCCTGATGTAGTCGAGTGTGTAGTGAAAGGAAGGGGTCTCCAGATCAGCCTAAATCTTGCAGGTAGTAATGCTTGTCAGTACTTGCCAAATGCGCCGCCATCTTGACGATTAGTTGGAAGAGTATTGTGTGATTGTGAAGGTGGACTGCATTTTCATTAGCGTGGAATTATTTCCGCAGTTCGGGATCTTCTTTCTACGTGTTTAGTGATAAGTGTGTGACGTGACGGAAGACAGTGGGACCATGGTGGACTTCTACATGTGTGTCTGCGTTGTATCCTGGAAAGGTAGGTTAGACTTCAGTTTTATAGCTGTCAGTATCTGTCGGATTTGTGTTTTTCGTGTACTGAAATCTTAATGCCACATAGACGTAAAAACTAATATTTCTGAACGGTGTAATCTAGAACCCTAGTAGTTTATTACGAATGTGATCACGTAGACAATAGTTTCGGTCCGAAAGCCGCCATGACCGAGAATCCACAGACCAGAATACAGTAATGGCTGTGCTGAGGCCAAGCACCCCACCCGCCTCGCACTTCACAAATAATAAATATCGTGCTAATTTAATTACATCAACATGCCCGAACATTCGAATTTTAATTTACCAACTTTTCGTTGGACTGGAATGGAAGAAATGTCTTTATTCGAAGTTAATATATACGCCACAGGGCATGTGAAATACTTTATGTATTTTGTGCGTGTAGGACACCGAAAATAAAAATTGAAAATTACTTTCGTGAGCTGCACTTTTTAAATATGGCTATCTACTCATTAAATGGAAATTTCGAAGAAAGTTACAGATTTAATTACATGCTTCTGTTAAAAAAACATGCTGCCTTGTTCACTGCTAGCCGAGTGACTTCGTACTGGGAAGGTCTCGGGTTCATATCTGATCTTGGAGATCAGGAAATTCATGTTTTTGAACGTCGTGATGTGCGAAAGGAATCGCCGGTTGTTTTTATTTGTAATTCTGTGAATGATCCGTCGTCCGTTGTTTTGATTCGTGTGGCTTTTTACAGACGCCAAGAGTTGCACACATTTGTGGATCATTTTTTCAAAGTGCAAGCCGGTGATTATCGATTGGTTTTGTGGGGGAAATGTGAGTCACTTGTTTACAAACAAATTGAAGTAGTAACATTCAGGCAGCGACCACTTTTCCATTTGTGGATGGCGTGACGTGCTGAATGCAAATTTCTTGCCATCTGGTGGTAAGATACCACACTAGACGATATATACTAGTTAAAATTTGCTTGCTAGATGGCGGACGAAGTCACACACAGTCGGTGTAGATCGATTGTGTACGGATTGCCCAAATATGAACGCGGTGTTGAATGCGCCCATTTAGGAAATCGGAAAAATTATGTCAGACACAATTTGAAACGGTCTGCTCTCTTTAATAATTTTCTTCCTTGAGCCAGATCAAACAAGCGAAGAGGTGTCGCCGAGCAGTGTTCGGTAGTTGCACGCCTAACAGAAGAATCTTTTTAAATCACGTCACAAATCTTGTAATGCATTGGACGTTCCGTGTGCATGATCGGTGTAACAATCGAATTTTCTACACAGGAAGTTTAAGTAACAGTTTTTTTAACAGTTTCTTCTGTTTTTGCCTTTTACGAGTTCTGACCACTGAACAAAATGTGAAGGACTTTTTTATTTTATAAGAATTTGTAAGAGGCGCGAAAGACGATAGGCTGATAAATCTTTCAGGAATAATAATTACTTAATCAATTTTACCCACGGCAGGCGAAATAAGACAGAAAATGTGATGGCCTGTATTTAAGTTCCTACCGGACTTTGTCATGTTCTGGACAGGAACTTTGCTGTGCTGACGAGGAAGTTGGTAGGGGCCCTTAGTAATATTTATAGAAGGCCGTGTCACAGCGCAAGGCGGCTTCCGTCCGTGCAGGCTCGGGTTCGTACCCAGGGCAGTCCATGTCGTGGACAAAGTGGCACTGAAACATGGTTTTCTCCAGTCATCATGAGCCCCTTAAATGTCCACTTCCGTAAAAAACAGCCTCACCCAATCGGGGCAATCTGAAGTTTAGAAAATGCGTGCAGAACCGGAACATCGTCACGCGTTATTTGCATAAAAATGTAAATTTTCAAGGAACCACTGCATTTGTTGCCCTAAAGTCATTCTTCCCTGCTCGGTAAACAATTTATCCGCTACTATAATTTTATATGTTGGGGTAAAATCCACAGATGTGACATCTGAATCACAAACTTTCGGTAGAAACACACGAAATGAATAGAAGAATTCCAGTGTAGCGCGCAATGGCGATAACCGGTGATGCTGAATCAGGGAATTTGTATTCGTTATTCGCTCTGTGTCTGTGAAATGAGATGACTCTGAAGATGATACCGTAGGAGGCGGAAGTCGGAGCTCTCAAGACTGAAGCCGACTCATCCGTGGTTCGCGATCCTGTGAGTGTCGAGTGTCGAGAAGTCAGTTTCGCTCACAGACCGCCTAAAAATGTGGAGGAGCCACTGGTCACAGGCCCAAGGTTACTCTGTCCTTCATGTTTGCTCCCGCTGAAATGTCAGACCACGGTCCTACTTTCAGTTATGTCATGTAGACTTGTAAGGTGGTTATCGTTTGGGAGGATCCTGTTGTCCCAGTCTTCTCGGTAGAAACTTCGGTAATCATACACGCGGGTTTATTAACACGAAAAGAAGTGAAGGTGGAGAATGACTTCTTCATCTCGGTCGATAGTCGAACTCGCTGTATTGACGACTCTGACGTTCAGCTGCGGTGAGGTCAGAGCCGCTTCGTTCCTTGTAATTTTGAATTAATTATTTATTAATCATCTCGTAGTCGGTGTCGTTAAATAAACAACAAATAAATTAATAAGTCCGGTGCATAATTATTAGTAGTCACGTGCAAACTTATCGTCTTTATTTTCACTAAACTTAAAATTTGACTTCGTTATTTACAGAGACCGACGCCTGTACCAAAGGGCAGAGGAGAAACGTGAAGCTTTAGACAATGTTTTTGGTTTTTGGTAGTCGTGCATGCGGTTATTTCGCGCAGGTCTCGGTGTCTGCGTTATGAAATGATTACGTTTCAAAAGCGAAGTACGAGTTCTTAAAAGTAAACGGACAAAGCGTCCCCAGATGAAAGAATGCCTTTTCTAGGTGTCCCAGGTGGTTCCATCTAAGTTACGCACGCAAAGCCATCGCGCGGTCCCGTCCCTTTGCTGGGCACTTTAACTGTGTTTCCGCCTGACACACGGCAACTTGTGCGACACTGATGCTGTGCGTGTTGCCAGGGGCCGTCGTGATTGAGACCTGCAGGTTATCACGGCGGTTAAAATGCCCACGTTCTTACTCTGGGCTATGGCCGGGACACGGGCGTCTGCCTGCGAGTATACACGCCGTCACAACCCAGAGGAACAGAGGAGACTTTCATTCGTAGAGCGGCTGATGTAAGAAACACAGGCTGTCCCAGAAAGATGTAACGTGGCGATGGTGTGTGTGGGGTGGGGGTACTCAACAGATGCTGTGCCTCCTATCCGTCGGTCGGGGAAAGTGTTGTCTAGATAGGTCCTGACACCACGTCGGTAACGTGGGGAGGGTAGGGGGTTGTCTTGTTGATGCCAGAACACGCGGAGGTCGATAACAAGGTTAGTACTGTAATGTGCGGGCATCATTTGGGAACTTTCTGTAACATGTGATCTCGCACGAAATTTTCAAGGCGTGTCATAACTTGTGTATCTCACTTAAATATGATTGGTTGGTAGAACACCGTCGTGGTTTTCGCAGACAATGAATTCGAAAGACGTTACATGGAAATGTTGTAAATTCTCTTTATAATAAGTATTTAAAGGGGGAATAGGCCTACTGATATTGAAATCTGTGTTTACTAACGTTCGTGTATGAAGCGCTGTTTTGTTTCATACACCTTTAAGATTTTCGAAATTAGGGTCGAAGTACGAATGTTATTTCAGGAAAGAATAGGCGACTTTCTCAATATTTTCCGCAGAGATTTCGCAGAAAGTAAATTATAAGTTTAAACAAAAATAATGCGCGTAGTTAAAATGCGCGTACTTCTGTGTACGTGCTACGATGTTGCCACACGTAGTATTATTTGATTTTGTGAGAAGAAAAAGTTCCTAAGTCTTTCCCTCTTAAAAGCACGTCATCGTATGTAGTTATTTGTTCACTGAGACGGTAAAAGTGTTAGGATGACCGCCACTTAATTTTACTTAAGTTAAGTTCATGTGATGTGTAGAGATGCAGAATCTGCATGTAACTTATTCCGAAATACAGATCTTTTCTCACAAAGTGTAACGTGGAAGAAGATTTTAATACAGCCAAGTCATCAAAATTATTTGATATATTAAACTGAAAGTTTACGAATATCGCTTTCAAATGGAAGACTTTAATCTTTCATGCACCGTCAACCACAATGAACTCAATAACGCGCACTACTCGTGAGGTCGTGAGTTCTCAGATTTCTTCAAGTACCGACTGTGTCTGCGTGGGAATGAGACAGATTCTGTCATTAAATAAAATTATATAATACACGTGACATTTGCTAAAAACAATATGGATCCCGGAAATGCCTGCTGCCCTATGAACCTTAGGGACAAGGTCTGTCTCGGGTACGTGGAAGTAAGTGCCCTGTAAAATGGTGAATGGATGGGATAATAATAATGCATATGGTGAATTAGTTCACAGCTGTTTTTATTATAAAGACATTATTAATTTTAATTGTGATCTAATTCAGAAAACACAGCGCACATGCTTCAGTGGACGTGTCACACGAATCTTTATTCTGAAACAACTTGTGGAGTGGAGGAAGGAAGCCACTGTTTGGGTAACTTAGTAGTAAGACTGCAGATGTCAGGAAAGACTCCGTTCGAGACGGGAGTTTTAATATCAATTAATTCTGAGTCTATATAAAGATGAACGTTTAATTACTTCTGCAGTATTCCAGAGTCAAAAGGGGCCATTGAGGAAATGAAATTATAGTTTTCTGTTTGTAATTTCTCAGGTTTGTTAGTCCAGCTTTCCTCCTTGATGATTCTGAAAACAAAAAAAAAAGTACTCAGCATTAGCAGAAGTCTGTTGTGTCTTCGCGTGCTACATAAAAGGGCGTCTGTGACTTGCGCAAAGACGCAGTCAGACGCGAGTCTCGCCTCACTACTGGCTTCGGAGCGGACCGGATAATTCGTGAACATCTCCTTAGTGCCCTTCAGCCTCCACTGTTACAGCTGTCCTTGAACTTACATCTGACGACTCGCAAAACGTCTGGCGACCAATTTAGACAAAAGAAAATTGTAAGACCACGAACCCGCACGTGTAATTGTTCAGGGCCTCCGTTCATTGAAACTTGGTTAATGTGGGAAATCTAATTTCCCTTCCGGAGGGCGACAGTCGCTCAGCTTTTCCCCCTTGACTCTTAGTTGTAGAACCTGTCGGAGCAACTGAATTTTCGTCTCGAAACAAAGATCCAAATGAGCCTCGCGGTGCCCAAAAACGTTACTTCTGGCTGAATGTTCTACATTTTTTAAACCAACCTTCCTTTCGCGATGGATTGCCAAGTAGCTCCGACTTTCATAAATCACCCGCGTCTCCTCTGTACGTGTTCGCCTCGCTCCATTATTTTTAATGCTTACCACACCCCGTACCCAGGGGTATTTCGTGTACGCGGTATTTTCTGAACATCAGCCGCGCGTGTACTTCAGCGAATATCTTCGTTTGTGAGGTGTAGATGTGCCGAGTGTAAGCCGACGGAACTAGCGCAGGAAACTTAATTGTGGCTACCTTATGTGTTTTTGCAAATTCCAGCCCTTGGCTTTGAAACTAAACTGTTTTCTTTTGTCTTTGTATGATGAATTAACGCTTTGATTTTGCACTCCCAAGAGACACTGACGACTTGTCTGCGGTTCGCCTTCTCCGCTGGGGAATGTTTGGCCAAGAGAGGGATGAACTGGCACGAGGCTGCAGAGGAGTGCAGATTAAGGACCTCCACAAAGCGTAGCCTTTAACAAATTACATCAACGAGGAGGAGATGGGTGGGGAATGTAGCAGGAGTCGGAGAGAGAGCAATATTTCAAGGACTTAAAAGATTTTAGCCGAAGGATGAGACAGCTTCAGGGATGTTATTCAGGCGAAAGCGTTGTGCTTAAAATTATCCTTAAAATATTTTAAAGCGATAATGTGGACTGCGTTCATGTCGTTCAGGACACGGCCCGGTGACGGGCTCCTGTGAACAGGCTGATGAAACTTCGGGCTCCGTAGTTGAGGTTAGCCCCTAAACAAGGACTGGGGTCTTTCGAGACAGCGTGAAGTGGCTGAAATTCCTCGATTAATGTCGTGACGCGGAGATTTAGAAGAGCATGTGGTCGGCTGCTTCTGAAAGGAGCGACGAGGATGTGCCGGAATGTGTCCTTCAGCCTCAACTCGTGTACGGACGGAGCTTGACTGTCGTGCCGCATAGAGGCCTAAATGCAGCCTGAACACAAATTACCTGAGAGTTTTTAAACTGAACCTTGCAATGCCATCAGTTGAATTTCTGCTTCGTGTTTGTAACATATTGCTGTAACAGCGTTTGGAAATTCAAGAGAAAGTTTACTCGAAACGTCGGAGCCGATTGGTTTGCTCTTTCGCATTCTGGAGTCCTGTTTTCCAAACTGGGCCCCGAGTCCCATCGTCCTGTCGTGTTGTTCCTAAGACAACTCAGAAAAATACCTAAAATTGGGTCCCGACCGTTTCCTTCCGTATCTTTGCCAGTTCATAATTCATTAATAGCCATTTCGCTCAACGGTATGGAGCTATGAGCTACTGGCAGCGTCGTTAAATGAACCGTAAGGGATGTATAGTGGCGGGCCTAATGTTCGTCTACGAGGTCAATGTTCTTTGCTTTCGAAATGTTTCCTATGCAGTCCGATCCGTAATTCTCATACACTCTTAGGTGAAAACTTCATAATAAGACGATCACAAGAAAATACCTCGTATAATGTAACAAGGGACAGAGCGTGTACTTGGATAATATTAAAAATTTATTGACCTGCATTTTCATGCGTGAAAAACGCCTTGCAGTTACCATGACAACCTCTCAACCTTTCGTATTTTAATTCCAAGTACACGTTTAGTCACATTCTTGTTTTCAGGTAATCAAATTATTCATAGGCGTGATCAGCGTACCATAAGTTTATAGACTCGAAGTTTCTGAGGCGTCCTCCTGATTGCCTGGTCGTCCGCCATGAGGAGCACCTCGGCGTCTTGGTTCTCCCCCGCAGGGTACTCCCCGCCTGCAGGCACCAAGATGCCTGCAGGCGTCTCTTCAGAGCCTTCGAGATGAATGGTTCTAGACCTGAAAAAGAATGTATAAATCGAAACATTACAAATGGCTTCGCGTTGTGCGGCGAAAGGTCTGTGTTCCCGAAACTGCTTTTCATTAGAAGGAAGAATTTCCACCCTGAATAATATCTCGGGATATTCTGACCCCCGCGAATCGGGAAGGACCCGCATCCTGCAATCATGCGCCCTTGCCATTCGTCCTTAGACCAGAGGATCGATACATAGATCATGTATTTGTGGCGACCACTATCAGCTTCTCTCTCACGACGTCTGACGCACGTGATTACGACATTTGGTGTCCTTCGGAGCACAAATAGTGGGTCCGTAGCGAGAGATGACCTCGTGTATCGACGAAAGTTAAATACCTGGCCACGGCGTCGTTTCCGCCCGTAGCCTCAGCCTCGTCCTCCTCTTCGGAGGCGCCGTTCCTCCACTGTACCTCGTTGCGTCGTCGATCTGCTGCAGAGGGTACCCTGACGCCCCTCAGCCTCTTCCACACTTTGCTGCCGCTGACGGGTTCCGCCTGTCGCACCAGTTTGGACAGGAACCACCGGGTGTCCTCTGGCGCCGCGATCGCCGCCACGGCCTCGGAAACGTCGACTGGGGCCTCATCCGCCGCGACGTTGCCACTTCTCTTGCCATGCGCTAGAAAAAGTTGAAGGAAAGCGCATTACTGCAAGACAGGCCACTATCGGATGTGGACGTCGATGGTGCCCAGTTCCAGTCTCGGCAAGGTCAAGGTGGAAGCCACGTGGTTAAAATGCCATCTGCGAGTTTTGTTTCCTTCTTAAAAAAATTGTAATGTTTGTTCTTTCATTAACATTTCCAAGTGTCTCCACCCTCATGAAGATCTCGCATTTTCTATGAATAATGTTTAGAATTGAATTTCTTTTTAGCAAAGGCAATTGATTGTGATTGACTTTCGTGTAGTAGATTACAAGTGGCCTTCTTAGTCCAAAGGTCGTGTGGGAATTATTGATCTGTCTTAGATGCATCTTTTCAACTACATCTGCGCGTATCTCGATGTTAGACAGAATTCTAACTCGCTTAATGTCCACTGAGATTCATGTCTGCCTACAGACGCGCAGGCGCTGAGCCGAGTCTGAATTCTATAAGAAGGAGACTTTTTGTTGCTGGTTACAGCAGATTGTCAAAAGTCACAAACACAAGCCTCAGTCTTCTCATGAGACTGCATGCAGTTGCCTTGGAGACGTGTGCTTAAATTTTTAATACCGATCGTGGAATTGACTGGCGTAAGATTGGCCAGAATTATTGATTATTCTTT